AATAATAATAATAATGTGCAACTGGGAAAAACGGAAAAGGCACATCAAGAGACTGAAGTAAGCAAATGAAGCAGGCAAAAGTTGTGCCAAGCCACTTGCAGAGGAAAAGCACAAGTTATGTTTGTTGTCATTACCGCTGTCTGATATTGCAAGTCATATCAACTGGCATGTATTTTTGTTTATTTGCTTTTCTCCTTCCTGTTAGTCAGCCTCTGTGCAATGTCAGTGGATTGTTCAGTCCATTGAAAGTCTTGTTTTGTGTATGACAGTAGGTTATTCTGCAGAGATGTATTTATTCATAAGTAATTGTGGATGCATTTTGTTATTCTGCATAAATTTGCAGCAGATCTCCATAATTTTTGTGGAACTTATTTTCAAATAGGTTGTAATTCTACTACTTTATTTTTTGTAAACTGTGACATAAGTAAGGCACCCATGTACCTTTTAGATTTCTATAACATTAGGAGAGAATGGAACATCTGAGTTTGACAACATCTGAAGTACTGAAGATGAGTTGTAGGATGGTTCCTAGTTGGTATTGAAGCAGTGTGGCCTGCAGTAGTGACTGGTAAATCTGTGTATTTTGGGGATCGTCCACGTGTCCACATACACACTCTGGCTGACTTGGTTATTTCATTATATTTCATTCTGTTGATCTGCTTGCTACGGCTAAGCTTGTTTTCTGTACAGTGTGGAAGGAAATATATTGCTGGTGAATTCAGTTGTGGACTGTCAGGTACAAGCATGCCTACAACTATGCCTCCATGGGGGGGTGTCACTTGAGACAGGGCTCTTTCACCTTTGGCAGTATCACCAACTTGAATTAGCTCAGACTGTCAGGTACAAGCATGCCTACAGGTATGCCTCCATGGGGTGGGTGTCACTTGAGACAGGGCTCTTTCACGTTTGGCAGTATCACCAACTTGAATTAGCTCACTCTGAGAGAAGATCAGATACATACATATATGTACATTATACTTGTTTGTTCACAGACCTAATCAAATCACTACTTTTAGGTGTTAGCAATTTCAGAATTTTGAAAATAAAGGGATAAAATGGGGCAGATGAAAGGTATGTGATGAAATGGAGTTTAACAAAGATTTGGTTCTCATTTTCCAGAGAACCAAAAGGGATAGTAGTTCTTTGAAGAGTTATAGCAGTGGTTTCTTAGCACTCCATGAGTGTTGAGCTCTTCTGGACCAGCATCATTTCCCTCTCATTGTTGATTTGCATGGTTGGCTCTAAAAATAAACAAAACACCTGCTTCTGGTGGTTCATTGCCATTGGCTGTACTTTATGTGAGGCTAATTATTTTCCTGTGTAAGAGATCTATTTAATTTTCCTGAGGTACACAGCAGTATGAACCAAGTAGTTATTTACATATATTTGTTCTTGTAGCAAAACTTTACGAATGTCTCTGAAGAACTGGAAAATATCTCACATTTTGAAATTAACATTTCTATTTATATATTTGAGAAAATACTACCATTCTCTTTTGTAATTCTATATGACAGACAAGCTTGCTTAGTTCAATGCAAACACAATGCTAGGTGTCTGAAAGCATCATATGTCTTCAGTATATAGATATGATTTTAACGTATGGCACTTCATTTTGCTCTTTCTATCCCATTTTATCCTTTCCTGAATACAAGATTAATATCCTCCCCCCCTGGCCACCAATCCTTTGGATTCTTTACCTGAGGTGGCTTTTTCCTGCTGTGTTTATTTTTCTAAAAATGGGCTTTATGTCCTTCACACACAATTTTCTGCATATGTTCTTTTAAGAGTAACCTTCTTTTCTTGTACAAATTACCAGCTACTGAGTTTGATATAATCTGTGATGCTGGACTGTATCTACTGGTGTTTTTCTAGTGGTGAACAGCAAAACTGAGAGGTATGCTTCCTTTTTTGTGTTTGCCTTGTTTCATCTTTTAAAATCCTACCTAGACAGCTAGAGACCCCTTAGTGCAGGAGAGATTGTGCAAGAGGCCACACAGAGAAGAGCAAATTGTTTTTAAAAAAGCTTCTTCCTGAGTAGTTTATATAAATTGCTACTGATTCAAATATACTTCCATCAACCAAGGGACATATTTGGATATAATCTCAAGTACTATATTTTCTTTTCAATGTCTCCATAACCTGTACAAACAGTCTACATAAAATTAGTATCTTTCCATTTGAAAAGTTAAAAGACCCACCCACAACAAACACAGTTGATATTTAAAAGAGATGCACAGTCTCGGCCAAAAATATTAGCGCCCTTGCAATTCTGTCAGAAAATGAGACCCTTCTCTCAGATAATTGTTGCAGTTGCAAATGTTTTGGTATTCACATGTTCATTTCTTTGGTTTGCATTGGAACAACACAAAAAACAAACAGAGGAAAAGTAAAATCTGATATAATCCAAAAATGCACTGGCCAACATTATTGGCACCCTGTCTAAATTGTAAGAAATAATTGCTTTTCAAGCATGTGATGCTCCTATAATTTGTATTTAGACACACCTGTTGCAAGTAAGAGGTGTGGGCAATATAGTAATCACACTATATTACTATATTGTTAAGATGGAGAAAAGTTGAGTCAACCTTTGTGTTGTTTGTGACACTGAGCATGGAGAAAAGAGAAAAGTATAAAGAGGTGTCTATGGCAGGGATCAGGGAACTTTTTTACCTTTTACCCCCCCAAAATTTATATGCGCCGACATTACCCCTTTGATTTGAAAGTAAGGAAATCATACATTATTTGAATTCAAAATATTACTGAATCTACAAAGGCTGTGTACCGAACTAGCAGGATATATCATAAGTATCAATGGCTGCCAGGCTATGTACCGAACTAGCAGGATGCACTAATTTTAATAAAGATGTGCACTATTTTTGCTGGAACACATTGCACTCCAGCCCTGGTGTGATATAGCGAGTAGTAAGGTGTCCAACATGCCTAGCAAGTTGCATTAAATTTTTGCTAGCTCGCAGAGGATTTAATCATCATCAATGGCTGCCAGAGCGGTGCTAGCAATTGGGGGTGGGTTCCTACCACTTTAATCATTCTGTGTCTGGTTTGCAAAAAAGGAACAAACCAGGCTAAATCATGTCACCCACCCTGGTGCCACAGCCCAACATCAAAAACCAGTGCACTATTTTTTTATCATCATCAATGGAAAACTCAGCAGCAGCCAGAGGACTGGAAAAGATCAGTCTACATCCCAATCCCAAAGAAGGGCAGTGCCAAAGAATGCCCCAACTACTGTCCAATTGCACTCATTTCACACGCTAGCAAGGTTATGCTCAAAATCCTACAAGGTAGGCTTTGCTCATTACCCCCAGGATTTTCATTTTTACCCCATTTGGGGTAATTTACCCCTGTTCCCAGACCATTGGTCTATGGATTTGAGAGAAAAAATGTGGAAAAACATAGATAATCTCAAGGTTACAAGTTCATCTCCAGAGATCTTAATGTTCCTCTGTCTACTGTGCGCAATATCATCAAGATGTTTACAGACCATGGCACTGTAGCTAACCTCCCTGGACATGGATGGAAGAGCAAAATTACTGAAAGGTTGTTCAAATGGTGGCTACAGAACCCAGATTAACTTCCCAACAAATTCAAGATGATCTGCAGACACAGGGTACAACTGTCAGCTCTTACTATCTGTCGCCATTTGAATGAAAAGGGACGCTATAGCAGGAGACCCAGGAGAACACCACTGCTGACACAAAGGCATAAAAATGCAAGACTGGAGGATGGTATGCTAAAACCTATGTGACAAAACCACGATCCTTCTGGGAGAACGTACTGTGGACAGATGAGACAAAAGTAGAGCTTTTTGGTCAAGGACATCATGGCACTGTTTACAGAAAAAGAAATGCGGCATTCAAAGAAAAGAACACAGTCCCTACAGTCCAACATGGTGGAGGTTCAAATATGTTTTGGGGTTGTTTTGCTGCTTCTGGCATTGGATGCCTTGACTGTGAATGGTATCATGAAATCAGATGATTACCAAAGAATTTTGGGGCGCACCGTAGTGGCCACTGTCAGAAAGCTGCATCTCCACCAGAGGTCATGGGTCTTCCAGCAGGACAATGACCCGAAACACACTTCAGAAAGCACTCAGAAATGGTTACAAACAAAGCGCTGGAGAGTT